GAAATACATCTAGGTTTCACTACCCAGGACAGGTTTTAAAGCAGCGCTGCTGCTCAGGCAGGGAAGAGAAGGGTGACGGTACACGTCACACTACAGAACAGAGCCAAGGCAGGCTAGGGAGCCTCCATTATTCGGAGCAATGCTTCCTTACTGAAGTTCTCAATATCAGCTACGGTAGGAAAAAAAGAGTCATTGCCACAAACTTTGCAAGAAGAGCTTCACGGGTAGAAAGAAACGTTGAGATAAGATGTTTCTGGAGTACGGCAATATATAAACTGGTGGTCATCCATTTTGAACCGCCGACATCAAGGCCCCAGTCCCTCCTGGTGCATACAACAGAAACGCTTCTGTTCCCTTCAGCATCAGCAGACTATCAGCAGCTACAAAACCAGGGCACCTATAAAGGCATCTTGATAGGAAGCTCTCTCAGATGAATGCCATCAGCTTCCGTTCACCAAATTCATCCAGGACCAGAATTAACTAACATGCTTTTGGCAGGCAGAATTTTAATGCCTTTGCTCGTACTCAGTAGTAGCTTATCCTGGAATTAGTCTTGCTGAAGTGAATGTATTTTTTTTTAATTAGGAATATCGCAACCTGAGGATATATTCATTAACCATCACATAGTAATTAATACTTTATATCTGCTCATCCTCATCACAGTTCATAGCATGATTAACAATAATTTTTAAGAGTGAATCATTCTACTTAATAATTCCATCTTGTTTGTTACACCTTGCAAGATCTGTAATGATCCTTGTACACTTTTGGGGAGTTAATTACTATGGGTGATCAGAGCTCTCAACATCTCTTCCCACTCAGCCGCTAAACCCCAAGGACTTCCCCGTCTTTCCCCGGCCATTCCTTACCCCAGCCCTTGCTGTGGTCCCAGTTGTGTGCTATTTCTGTCATCTCTAGCTGCGCATAATCTGGAAGCTTATCTGTAGTGGCAGTGCTCCTGCCTAGCACTTTTCCCTGAGGCTCTCAAAATGCTTTAGAAAGAATGGAAAATATGATTAAACCTCCTTTTCACACATACAAACACACACAAAAGGAAAGCGCAAAATGAAGGACTAGAGTGCTGCTGCTGTGTTGGAGGCAAGAAAGAACCATGGTCTCGGTTTCTCCAACATCCTTAGGAAACATCTCGCTTAGAAAAACAGGAAGTCAGGCTCCAAGGTACATTTGAAGATCTGGGGCTGTGGTTGCACTGATGTCCTCCCTGAGCCTGGCTGCCCACTATTTCTTCTCCAAGTGAGGCAGGGGGCTCACCGTGACCACTTCCCTTCCTGCTCATCCTCTGCTAGCTTGCAGCCTGTAACATGAACACTGATTTCTTTTGACTCCTTTTGTAAGATCTGTGCACCACTTTGCCAGAAAGGACCCTCCAAATACACATGGCAGACCAGGGAGCAGCAATATGTGAAACAAGTCAACCATTTCTCTTCTGTCGCACACCACTCACGGTTTCCAAAGACACTGAAGAGGATGCAACTGTGTTCAGATCTTTAGCACAGGGGAAAGACAGCAGAAAGCACAGTGGACAAACCCTCAACCTGTGTAAGTATTCACTAACTTCAACAAAGCCTGACAGGACAACCACCCACCTCTTTGGGCATGCTGGCTTTTTGCATTAAAAAAAGTATACTTCCTGGGCAATGACTTTACATAGCTGCAGCTGTATTATTTTCGTTGGTTACTTATAATTAAGGAACTAGAAAGTTAAGGGTTTACAATGACAATCGGCTTTCCCAGAAACTGTTACTACAACACTCAATCCCTAACCCCTAGTGATGAGCTGGGATATTCCTCGATTGGTTTTTTACATGCCTTCTGACCATCATTTGTGCTTTGCTTTACACAGGAGGTTTTCATCAGCTGATCACCTATTTTAACAGATTGCTCAAGACCCTACATGGGAAGAAGTAAAGGGAGGAGGACTGGGTACCTGCGTACAAATATTAATGCATCAGTGATGCTATTTTGCCAAATATTGGTACATGACGTGACAAGTAAGGCAAGTTAATTCAGCAAATACAAATATTTTCTTCTCTCATCCCTGTGGAACAATGCACCACATGGATTTTGGAAAGCTAAACCTTATATTTTAAATTGAAAATTAATTGGTTACTTAACCCAAATTATTGGGGTTTACTACAGAAGACACGAATTCAGATTTCATGGTAATCCAGTACAGGAGAAGGTGAGGGGAAAAGCAGGAGGGTAACAAATAGGAAAGGAGTGACAGGGAGTTGTTTCAGGAGAAAGTGGTATGAGGTAGCTACCATTAAGTCCTTAGTAAGTCTCAGTCTTTTACCAGCTCACTTACTCCCTTGAGTTACTATCTCTGCTCTGTGGCATGTGTGCTAGGGTAAGCTTCTCATCACCTTGGGGAAACAGAAGCTTTAAAGTTGTGCCATAAACCTGGAAGCCCCAGCCTATACTCTTCCACTAGCAAATTTTTAGGAATCAACAAATTGAAAACATCTGAAATTACTACACTGCAGGTCGTTGTCAGTTTAATTGAGAATATGAATTTTAGCTGAGCATTCGATTTGGACAGCATGATAAAACTGTACATAGCGTGCTCTGTGATCAGCACCACCACTGCTGCATGCCCCAGTAAGCCCATCCGCTCTCTAGGTACATCTAAGGCCCTTCCTGCAGCAACACCTGACCTGTTCTGAGGGCACCCTCCTGCCTCCCCTCACTGCCTGCCACAATGCCTGTGCGCTTACCAACACTGAAAGCTATTTCTGTCTGCCATTTCCCACCCCATGCTATCCACCCGCAACTTGTATTTTGGTTAGGAGATCTGAGAAGAAGGAAACGGACCTGCCAGGACAACTCCTGCAGAGGCTGCCCAGAAGGTTTAAAAATATAGTCTGCTGTCATGTCATGGTTTACCTTCCCCCCGTTTCACCTGACAGTTAAAGGCAGCAGAGAGGGGAAATTGTGCAACAAAGAGCTAATGCCAAAGCAGAGGAGAAAACCTATTTCACCTGATCCTTCACACCCTCCAGCCTAGAAAACATTAAAACAACCAAACCAGCAGGTTCAGACTGACAAAAACTAGTGCTTCCACATTTGTACAATCTGCCTGTATGTTTCCACATTCCCAACAGCAAAGGACATACTGAAAAAACCCCCCTCTTCTGCTAATAACTTCACCGTCATTAGAAAGAGGATACATCAGTCCATAAAAGACCCCATCTCAAAAGCGACCGGAGCACACCATGGACACACTTTCCAGCACCTGATCACCATGGAGTTTGAAAAGCCTGTTGTATGAAACAGTAAATAACTATCCCAAAACCAAGCATAGGATTGCAATTTAAATGAACCTTCTCACTTTGTGAGGCTCATTTGACACATTTCTAGAGCATGTGCTGGTTACAGGCTTGCTTACTGCCCCTACTCCGTTCCTTTAAAGAGACCACAAAAAAACGGGGTTGCACAGCAGGCCCTTTCCTGGAG